CAAAGTAAAGGAAAGACAAAAAAAAAAAAAAAACCTAGAATGATAGATGAAGGACACAAAAATCCGAGCCTTCAATCTGCCTCAAATTGACTGACTTGGATTGTTACCACAGCTCAGATCAATGTTAGCCCTGAACGCGTTGAATGGAAAATCATTCGGATTGTATTATGTTAGAATATATGAGCCATTTCAAAATATTAATTCAGCATTATTTGAGGTGTCTGTTAAGGATGGCAGTTAGAGCTCGCGCCGCTTTGACACGACTGAGCGATTACACACCTCTATTACACGTGATGTATGAATGTGTGAGAGGGACCTATTTTTCATGACCAAGACATTGTCCCTGGAGGGAGGTGAGAATACGGCTCTCCCACCACCCCCGAACAACTGGCCGGCTGCAACCCGAGAACAGAGAGAGGGGAAGAAAAAGGGGAAGCGCAGCACTATTGGTATTGGTGGAAACTGCGAAGACGTGTCTGCATTTTGCTCGCCGCTCCCCCTGTCCAGTTAATTGGAATACAAAGCAGAGCAGGGTCGATGGGAGAGCGGCGGTGGCGAAGATGAAGAGGAGGAGGAGGAGGAGGAGGCATAGCCGCTGTCTGTCTCCAGCAACCTTCACTGCTCGCTGGAAATTGACTGTGGAAGCAGCAAGCGAGACCGACACACTGTCACTGGTAAAATGAACTGTCACCTTGCATTTCTCAACCTCCTGGCAGCGTCGAATTGGCCGCTTTGAACCATGCGACGTGACACTGATTGAGTTCTGGTTTCCCCCTCCTGGGCTCCAAAAGGAAGCAGGCCGCTTTAATACCAAGCGCGCCAGGCTCTCCGCACAGAGAATCCCTTCAAAACGCTCACTCCTTCCTTCACCACCCCTCATTATTTCATTGTGCTGCTTCGTTACTCTGCTTCTCAACTAGTCTTGTTGTTATTTATTAATTTTTTTTGTTGTTGTTTTCCCTACTGTGTGCAGTCATAGAAGTCTGACAGGGACGCAGAGGAGGAAAACTATTAGGGGTAGCCATTTGGATCCTGGAGGCAATCCCAGGGAGTATTAAGACGTTAACCCTGGCCAAGTCAGTTGTCTCTCTCAGTTACCGTGCTGATGGAGTGGGGAAAGGATCCGGTCGCAAGGGGAGATCCAGGAGACAGGAGCTTTGGGTCAGCTGCCGCTTCCAGGTCCAATCGAGCCTGACTCGAATGGGGGATGGTTGTCAGGAGCCTCCTTGGCTGGGCTTTAAGGAGGCTCGGCGCCAAAACAAAGGACAAAAAAACAGAAAGTGTGCCATCTCTACCCACACCGGATTCAGGAAGACTCACCAATATCTGTGGAAAAAGTCAAATAAATATGTTTAATTAATGTTTTTTGTTTTTTTCCTCAGTGAACAAATATTGAACGTTGTGACTTTCACATTAATTGCAAAAATATTCATATCCCTTCTCACATGTTGCAGTAGCATGGTGTGGTGTTTTATTGGGATTTTATGTGACGAACCCGCACAAATTCATCTGAAATCTTAAGAATTTTTATAGTTTTAGAAGTTTTGGTGAAAACAAATATTAAAAATGTCTTGTTCATTTGAATTCAGCCCACCTGAGTTGAGACTTTGTCTGCAAATTAATTACAGTCTTTTATATCTTCCAGCTTTGTACACATCTATAGACGCCAGAAGTCCTCCAGGATTTTAATGGGGAATTTTTATATTAGATTTAGATAAACCTCCATCCTAGCCTCCAGTTTTTGTGTGCAGCTCCTCCAGAGTTACCGTAACTCCCTCGGGTTACGTCTGGAACAAATTCATTCCTTGCCCAGTTTAATTTTAATTTTTTCTTTTTATTTAATAGTTCCCCAGGCATGTTTTTCTAGAGTTTCATACTCTTTCTATTTTCAGATTATGGATTGAACAGTGCTCTCTGACATGTTGTTTTATTGTTTTATAACAGAATCCTGGTTTCATCTTCTGGGCTTCCCAGAACAGCTGGTGAATGATACTTAAGTGGTTTCTGAAGGAAGGTTGTGGTACTGAACTTTATTTAGGGATCTCAGGCAAAAGGGGTCTGAGTACATAATTTTATTTAAATACCTTCTTTTTTGGCAAATACCATTAAAAACCATAGTTTTCCTTCTTCACAGATATGTGTTACTTTGCATTGCTCTGTCTCACAAACTCTCCAACAATGCATAGAAGTTTGAACTTGTAATGTGACAAAATGAGAAAAAGTTTTTTCGAGAGCGAATACTTTGGCAAGATTTATTGTTCCCAAAAAATGTTTGCTCCTTGGGTAAAAGAGCATTTGGAGGATAAGACTTTATTTTATAAAGCTGTATGTAGGAAACTCACAGATTTAAACTGATAAATTTGAGATGAAAATACCAGGGAGAAATGTCCGTCCACACTTGATTAAAGCAAGCAAGAGATTTCATGAATACGGAAAGAAGCTCTTTATTTCTTACGTCCTGAGTTGACGTCATCAGACGTCTTCATCCAATCAACAACCTGGAAATCAAAGATATTCCATGTAATCTAACAAAGAAAATCATTACATTTTGAGATCAAAGACATTTAGAAAGCTAAAAAAAAAAGATTTCAATTAGATTCTATCATTCCAATTGTTTTTAACCGGATTACTAGATTACTTATTCCCGCCTCTTATTCCTGATGTTCAGCATGTGCTTTTTTTTCTTTCTAATTTGCTAATTTAATTAAATAATTTAGAATGGCTATCAACTAAACAAATTGAAATTCTGAAACGACACGAAGTCCAACTCCGCCCTGACTTCATCGCATTTGACTTCGGAAGGACAAATGGTTTTGATCTAAAAATCTCATGTTTGATACCTGCCACTAAAAAATAAATAAATAAAATCACCTCTGTGTGAGCCCCCCTGTTATGCCATGAATACTGGATCCAGTTTCCTTTGAAGCCTCAGGGACCCCGCGGAGTGACGTGCGACAGAGGAACTGGTAGAAATCCGAGGAAGTGAGTCTGGCAATAGACTTGTAAAAGAGCCTACAAAACAACTGCAAGCAGCATGGGGTACAAACTGCACCAGGCTGACCTCAAAGTGCAGAGGAGGGAAGAGAGGGTGCTGGGGGGGGGGTCATGTGAGTGGATAAAGATGTGCAGGGCATCTATAGACAGACGCTGGTTTTTATTATCGCCCCGTTCACTCAGGTGTTTGTGGTTTTGTTTGTGGGCGTACGCCGGGGGGAGGATGATTTCTCTTTTCTCTTCCCGTCCTCTGCTTCTCTCCTTGTCCTACATCCTCCATCAGAAAGCAAGGAGGCCCGGCGCTGATGGGAAGGTGAAAAACATCCTCCTCCTCCTCCTCCTCTCTCCCGGCTGAACATCTGTCTCCTCGGTGTTGGCTGCACCACCGATTCTGACACCTCCAGATGGAGAGCCTGCTGGGAGCGCTGAGGTATTACCTCCAGAGATGGCAGGGATCACACCCCTGGAAAGAAGTCCCACACTTGCTTTCTGCAGCGACTCCTTCTTCTTTTTTGTTGTTGTTGGATCTGTCACGGCTCTCCATATCCATTGTCACTCCCCCGCTACCCCGGCCCTGCCCCTCTGCCTTTGTGGCTCATCTGATGAGCAGGCTTTTGGGCCTTGTTAAGAAATGCATGACATCAAATGTCTGAGCCCTTCTTCTAATTTACAGTAATGGGTCGTGTGGTATTTCAACTGTAAATTCTATTCAAGGAACTGAATTAATTTTTAATACAGTTGTGAAAGAACTGCAGGCTCATGCAGATGTATTTCGAACGACCGCTGATTCCCATTTCCTAAATGCATGTTTTCTAGACGCCTTAAAAAGATTAAAGCTCACACAGTCTTGATCATGGCCCAAGAAAGGAAAAAAAAAAAAAGAGAAGAAAGAGCCCGTACAGTTTATTAGTGCAAATATCAGAAGCAATACCTGTGAAAATCCAGAGCGTAAAAGCCAGGGAGTTTGCTTCGCCAGAGCCCCTCTGCCGTCTTGACAGATTGACTCTGCATTCATTTGTGCCTGAACTCTGAGTGAACCTCGGCGTTGGAGAAGAAGGGCATCAACAGGCCAGAGCTGTTGGGGCAGAAACTGTGTGTGCAAACCCATCACCCAGAGCAAATATTGAAACTGCGCCTCCCTTTACAATGAGAGGAAACGAGGTGGTCAGGTTCTGGAAGCCACAATAGCCACTGTTTCCATTTAAAATGGGTGTTTAATTTATTTTATTTTAAAATAACATTTCATTCAAATTCGGTCAGACAGAAATAGATCCGTGGTAAGAAGTGACCGAGTTGAATTTGGGTAACAAATCAAGAGTGAGACCCGACTTCCTGGAGTTTGTTGTCATGTTTAAAGCCCCTGGAGGTATTTTGAGGTGAAAAGGTCACTCAAGAACCACCCCATGTGTTGTGAGAGATTCCTCTTGTCACATTATGCAAGCTGACATTGTTGCAGTCGAATAAATTCAAAATCTACACAACAAATTAGAGATGTGCCAATCAGGCTTTTGCTGGCCATTACAGATTTCTGGTTTCCTGTCAAAAGAAAGCAGAAATCTGATTTTTTTTAATTTATTTATTTTTAAATTATTTCTCTTTTTAAAGCCTATGAACACATAACAGAGAAAAAAAAAGTTCAACAGGTACTTTGATAGAGGTACAGTAGAAAATTAAGGAATTACAATACAAGCAAGTTTTTAATGGGTATGTTCCTAACCTTTATCTGATATTTACTGATTTCCACAAGTGCATGCTGTTCGTTGGAAGTTGCAGGAGTTCTGAGATTCGACGTGTTTAATAAAAAGTGTAAAAAAAAAACAAAACAAACAAAAACAATCTGATCTTGTTAGCATTCGACCTGCAGATCACATGTCAGAGACAATCAGGAAAACATCCTCAGATTGATGCATCTCTACAAAAATCTGTCCAATCGGGGAAAAAAAGCACCAAACTAGACTAAATATGAAGACATAGTCAGCTTTTACAAGCACAAAAACTGCAATGTTAGTCTTTAATATTTCATAGTCTTTATTAAGCTAAATCATCTGAACAAGTGTTGGAAAATACCCTGTAAATAAATAGTGCAAAACAATGACACTGAGATCAGTGATACAACACAAAGCACAGCTTGAGCTCATTATGGAGAGGTAAAAAATAAAAAATAAATCCATGAAAATATTTTTAAGAAGCACCCAGTTCAGAGGAAAAGCAGCAGTCAGTCATACCCTGTAAAGATTCACAAGTCCACAAGCACTTTGAGTATTTATTTCCCACGGTATGGTGAAACCCAACCGCTTTTTTTTTGCTTTTTTTTTAAAGTCCTATCACAGTTCACAGTTTCTCCCCTTTAGTATTTGTGGACGCGGTTTCAGAGAGTTTCTCCGGTGGAGTGCTGCTGGCCAGGACGCAGCCGAGCTTCTCTCGCTTCTTCTGCTTCATCCTGCGGTTCTGGAACCAGATCTTCACTTGCGTCTCATTGAGCTCCAGGCTGGCCGCCACCTCCACCCGCCGCGCCCGCGTCAGGTACTTGTTGAAGTGGAACTCCTTCTCCAGCTCCGTCAGCTGCTTGGTGGTGAAGTTGGTGCGGATCGCATTGGGCTGGCCCGGAACCCCGAACTCCGACAGAACAGCTGTGGGGAGAGAAGAGGGGGAGCGAAAGGCGGTGGATTGATGGATGGAGAGAAACATGGAAGTCATGGAGCTGAAGAAGCATGAAGGGGGTGAAGATGTGAGTGGAAAACGTGAGAGTTAATCGCGCTGCTTTGGGCTGTATAAGCACCAGCGACAAGAACCACCGACCTGTTTTAGGGGGGTTCCTCTTCACTTTCATCCAGTCGAAAGTTTTAGAAGTTTCCTCCTGGTCTTTCTCCTGGCACTGGGGTGGTAGCCTCCTGTAAACACTCTCTGAGTACTCCTGCTGCCGCTGGTCCGGATACTGCACGTATTGGCCCGGGCCGCAGCCGTTCCCGGGGTAAGGAGCCACGCTCGTTCCGAGAGGAGATACCTGCGTGTGCGCGAAGCTCCTGTCCTGGTCGGGACCGAGGCCGAACTGGTGGTGTCCGTACTCCAGAGATGAGCCGTACACGGGGTTTCCTGCTGCTGAAAACTGCAGATCCAGACTGGTGTGCTGCTGCTGGTGGTGCAGCGGGACGCTCGGAGCCTGGTGAGGCACCAAACACCCGTCCGGTGCGTAACTATCACTTGTTGCGCAAGAGTTGGACGCTGCGTACCCGGGGTTTAAATTGGAGTATCCGGCTTTTGTGCTAAAAACATTTGCTCCGCGGCTGCATACCGGATAGTCTAAGTAGGAGTTCATCCTGGAACCTGGGCCTGGTGGATTTGTTTCAGACCTGACTTGGAGCGAGCCGTCATTAATGGTCGCACCCTGTGTCCTGACCTTAGGTAGGATGTCAAAGCTGTAAGAAAAACAAAAAGGGGAAAAAAAAAAAAAAAAAAAAACTACCTTCCACCCTCATATCACCTTCCTGACCACGCCACGTGACCAGCCAAACACCAATGGCAAAAGAGCCACAGCACTCCGTCAAGTCTTTAGGCTCGTCCATCAAAGGGCCCCATTTACAAGACAAACGCTTCAATCAAAGTGGCTCATCTATCTGATAACAACACAAACATCAGGACACATGTGCACCAAAGAGGAGCGTCAACAGAAAAAAGGGGAAATAATCACAACAGGAATCATGATGAAAAAAAAGAAGAAGAAGAAGAAGAATATTACCACATCTCCAGAGATTTAAAAAAAAAAGACGGGGTATAATCAATTTAGACAATAACAGTACTTTTACTACAAATAACAATCTTATTAATAATAGTTAAAATAAATCTGAAAAAAATAAGATTAAATACAACACTAATAATAAATAAATAAATAAATAAATAAATAAATAAATAAATAAATAAATAAGCAAATAAATATAATGTAATATAATTTGGTCGCACTGTAAATGTGGTACCTGATGGTTTGTTTCACATATTATTATTATTATTATTATTATTATTATTATTATTATTTGTTTTGTTTTTTGTTTTTTGTTTTTTGCTCTCTTCATTTCAGTTGCTTTTTTTTCTGAGCTTCGGGATCCCAATCTACATGTTTGTGTTTGTCAGACTTGCAGGACGGAGCCTGAATGAGGTACCGTCCCTGAAACAGTCAGCGCAGTGAATTCAGTGATCCATCACGACTCCTTATAAACGCTGACAGCTTGTTTGGTCCATTTTGAGCCATAAAAGAAACAAAGGCCCGTTTAAGAGCCAGAGACGGAGCCCTTTTTCCCTCCCTCCTCTGCTCTGCTTAGGAGTTATAATAATGTGGGGATCTCGCAGAATAGTCCTCCTAAACGGGCCCTTCAGTTAAGCACGAGTTTAGGTGCTCCTTAAGAGAAATTAACTAAAAAGAAACAAAGGATTTGCCATTCAGCATCGCGTTTCTCCTTCTAATTTGTAGACCATGCATAATGGGTTGGAACCTTAACATGATCTGTTTTTAATTGCCTAAATACCAAGTTGTATTTATATGCATCTTGAGCTTTTTGAGATGGACTAACCGAAGCTAAAGGAAGCATGCTTAAAGTATAAATCCGAATATGCTAATTATGAATAAATACTTATTTTTAAAAACCAGTGGATAACTATCAGCGTTGCGTGCAGAAATCTTAGAGATGAGTCAGTTTGGGCGCTTGCATGATTCTGTCCTGAGGTGTGCAGGCCTGCAAGAAGTACGACCCGCCGTGGCCGTCCAGTCCCTGGTTTGAGTCTGCGGTGCTGTCCTGCGTGATGTACTGCGCCTTGTCAAAGTGCGGGTCGTGCGTGAAGCTCGGGGCTGTACATTTGGAGTATCCTACCGGGTAGGCCTGCTGCTGGGGCTGTCTGAGCGGAGGGGAGGGCGGCTGGTAATCAGCACCCAGATGGACATAGCCCAGGCTCGCCAGAGTGGGGCTGCCCGCGGCGGAGGGGGAGGACGGAGGGGAGCAGGAGCTGGTGCTCGTCGCGGTGAGGCCCTGCACTCTCTGGTCCTTCTTCTGCTTCATCCTCCGGTTCTGAAACCAGATCTTGATTTGCCTCTCGTTCAGGTTGAGGAGGCTGGCCATCTCCACCCGCCGCGGCCTGCACAGGTAGCGGCTGAAGTGAAACTCCTTCTCCAGCTCCACCAGTTGCGCGCTCGTGTACGCGGTGCGCGTGCGCTTGGAGACCTGGCTCGAGCAGGGAGACTTCTCGGCGCAATCTGCGGAGCCAAAGAGATGTCCTGTCAACAGCAGCAGTACGGGTTTATGTGCTAAGGTTCAATGTGGTCCTTCATTTCAGAGGAGGCCACAGCAGGTTAGCAACTGTCTCCTGTGTCTGTGACCGCTGTGTTTGAACAAGGACGGAAAAGTGGAAGTACCGTCCTAACGTAGTGAAACAGAGGCGCTCCCTTCTATGAGAGGCACCGGCACTTGAAAAACAAGCTCTGAATGTTTTATTTGAGCATGTGAAATAAAATGTAACCAATAATAATAATAAAAAAACCAGAAACACTAATTCTGAATATTGGAGTTTGATATGGGCAGGAAGGCTCACCATCCAGGGCGCCACTGCTTCACAGGGTGGCTTGAAGGAAAGGGGTTATCTTTCAGATGAGCGACAAATAAATAATTATTTTTATTTGACAGCTTGAAATAAAAAAAAATAGGTTCTAACAGTGGTGTTTTGCTTTCTTTTCAGATGCACCTTCATTTTTTTTTTTTTTTTAGATGCTTGTCAATCGTGAGTGAACACTGCCTGTGTGGTGCACATTATATTTAAAAAAAATGCTGGCAGGCTTATTAATGACAGTGAACGCTGGCATCTGATTGAAAGATCACTAAAGGGTACAAAACGGTCAGAACTGGATTAATTAATGTTGAAAAGATGAAATTTAAAACATTGGCATGTTTGGAACCTTTATTTGTGAAATCTCAGCTTTTCAAATCCTTTTTTTATTATTTTAGAATTAGGAACCATTTAGACAACACTGGAGACAACATCAAAAAACCCAATATGTCTGCATGGCTATACAGAGTCCTGACTTGACTCTGATAGAGAATCTATGAAGGAAAGCTCAAAGTTAGGGTGATGGAGTGGAGGCATTTTAGCCTGAACATCTTGGTGTAATGATAAATCATCAAAGGTAAAATGCAAATATCAAAAACTAAGAAAAAAATATTTCTTTATTGATTGATGAAAGGGGAAGAAATCGTTTCTGACATGCCATTTTTAGTGCAAATAGTAAAAGATCATTTTTTTGTATACTGCAAGAAAAGGACTTGGAATGAAGTTTGTTTTTTTATTTTATTGGTTTACAGGTTGTCAAGTTATAACGTGCTTTATATATACATCAAATGAAACAGTTTTGTAACAGAAAGCACTCTTTCATCCTTGCAAAAAAATTCATCCATAGATAATTTTTTTCATATATCTACTTTTGATGTTTATGCAATTGAATTCAAGGTCTGACAACACTGCTTTAAATGTTGTACCATGAAGATATCTAGGAATAAAAGTTTTGTTTGCACTGTTATTACTAACATCCTAATAAAAAAGAATGTTGTAAACCTAATCAGAACTTCCTGCTGGCTCGGAGAAGCAGCTGCTTAGTTTGCTTTTTACTTAGGCCGGCTCAGTTCTTGCAAAGATTCAGCAAGGTCTCATTGTGCCACTCTATTTCATCTTTTCCACAAATAAGGCTTAATAAGACTAAAGCAAAGAACTTCACCAGAGGATTAGGGGGATGATCCCTTAATGAGATACAATGTTGTGTCGTTTTGTGGAATTTAAAGTCTATGTGGGCCTTTTCATTAATTTAGAAGTGCTGACTTAAAGGTTTTAGAGACTGAAGCCACTATATTTTTTTTGTAGCTGTTTCATGTTTTTGGCTTTTCTTCATGTGTTAATTCAGTTTTGTCACACAACATTCATCAACATACAAAACATCAAGAGTAACAGCAAAAAAAACGAAATAAATGGTGGTTAATCTGGCTTGGGAATTGTAAAAGCAGAGTGCCATTAACATTTCTTTTGAAGGCCAAAATGGATGCCAGAATTACGTTAAACTATTGAATGAAGGAATGTTTGCTAATTGCTAATTGTGATTATTTTATTATTCTCATTATCAGTGTAGTAGTTGCTGCTTTAGATTTGTTTGGTTTGATGGCTATTACTTTGATGTAATTCTCTCTCATTAACATCAAAACATTCCTCTTAACCTAATGTGTAATGACCTCTTTCTTTATGTGCATCATCACAGCATAATTAATAACCAGCTGACCACCTAAACCTTAAAAAACAAAACACAAAAGTACCTCTATAGCTTGTTGAGAAGATACTAAATGGGCACGAATGCTTTTAAGCTAATTTAACAGTAATAACACTAGCTGTTAAGATGTAAAAAATAAAATTGATGGAACAATTTGGATCATTTTTGTTTGGCTACTTCATGTAAAATGCTTTTGAGCAGAAACTATGCAAACCTGACATCTAAAAGACACTTTTTAAAATAAATTAGGTTGAATTGCAACTATTTTTGATTATTTTTGCTCATCTGTTTTGCCTTTGGGTGTTATAAAAAGCTTCTTTGTGACTAAGGCACAGTAAAGTGTTTGTAAAAGTAATGTACATATAATTGTGTCGTTCATTTTACTATAGTAATCAAGGTGTTCCACATATTAACATGTAAAATGTATATCTTAGTCAAACATAGTTTGTACCTGTAATGAGCAATAATAGTTACATTTCATCAGCTACTTTTGCTGTTGCAAACAGAAATGATTTAATTAGAGTTTAACTGACGATGGTTCAGTTTTAGCTGCACTTATTTCTCATATTGGAAAAAACAGTAAAACTGTTTGGATTATGAATAAATATATTGATTTAAGAAGCAATAATAATTGTCATGAGACCTGTGATTGAGAAGATTTGTTATGAAACTTTTAACTGAATTAGCAACAGTGCTAATTAGCATGCTAACGTCAAATTTGCTAGCAAACTTAGCTTTCAAATCCTGAGGCAGTCATTGCAAGTGAATAGCAAATTTTAGTTGTGGTTATCATCAAAGACTAATGCTATTTTGTTAGAAAAGATGTTAATCTTTTTTGTCAAGCATTAACTTGTTTAGTGACAGTGCTATTTTGCGTCAAAGTGACTAGCAAATGCAGCTTCTTATTGCTAATGAGCGTTCATTTAGCATGCTAATAATCTGAGTTTCTAAGTCGCTGCTCATAATTTGATAGATCTATTTGAAGCTGCTAGAAAAAATGTTCATGTACCACCTTTTTAGAGTAGATTTGAAAAAGTTTGCATCCAGCTCTAACTAGTTTAGGAATAATGCTATATTGCAAGCCATAGTCAAGCTTGCAAGCAAAATACCGTACACTGCTGGTATCGAGAAGGAATGTCTTATTTGTGGCTTATCAGAGCAAAGGTTGAAAATTGGAAGTCAACTTAATTTGTTGAGAAACATTTTAAAAAAGTATTCAAATAAAACTTAATTCCTCTCTAACATAAATCTAAATCAAATGTATGCTAATGTCGACAGATCCTAATTAAAATGTGGATTTGTCACTGAAGACATTTTTCCAAAAATAAATTAACCACCATTTTAATCATTCCAATGAAGTAATTAAAAATTCCATTTTATAGTGTAAATGAGAAAAGGCCTTTTTAAGCCAATTGATGTCTGTGTTTTGTATCATACCGACCTGCAACCCCCCTGTGGGGATTCTGATTGGAGGGTCTCGACTCTTTCATCCAGGAGAAAACCATTTTGCTCATTGCAAACTTATTGGGGCTTTGCGATTTGGACCTCCGTGGAAGCTCCTCTGCATGCTGGTGGGTCGGGGGTTGACGGGAGCCCCCAAAGCCAGACGCACCAGCCACAGACTCGCTGAAGAATCCGTGAGGGTGGCTGCAACTGTGGCGGTGGATGTTGCTCTGCATTTCCATGAAATGTGCACCGCGGCCCCCTTTGACCTTCTGGTGCACTGCTGGCAGCCAAATGTCACATGGCAGGTTTCCAGAGAGCCGAAGGCTTCAGGCCTGAGAGGATCCAGGAGGGAGAAGAAAAGAAAGACTGAATCAGGGAGGAGATTAAATGATCCATCTTATCAACTCAATAGTGAGCTGACATGAATGGCAAGCAGGGCTGCGAGACAAAACGAGGACTTTGGTTGAGAAACACACAAAAATAAATAAAATAATAATAAGTAAAAAAAATAAAAAAAAACGTCAAATCCTTCGGTTTGCCTTTATGCATTTTAGTTTAATATTTTTTTAGACTATGGGTAAAATAATATTTAAATCGCTGGAAAGAAATAACGACGTCTGTTTTTCTGAATGCGTGTCTATCTGTTATTATACAAAAATAAAAACTTTAAAAAGGCAACCAAAAAAAAAAAAGAATTGCATAACATTTCTATAGAAAATCAATTTAAAAATTAACGAGGCTTTATTGTGTTCTCCGCGGTGTTTCCTTGGCATTACATTAGGCCTTAAAAATAACAGCCTTTGTTCTGTTAAAGGATAGCTCTGTTTGCAAAGGAGGGGGAAATTAAATGTTATATCACAATCTGCTGAAAAACTCATCCATCAAATGCAAAATTATACAAATGTCTATACTGTGCTGCAGAAGCTGCACGGTTTGTGCCCCGAACTGAGATAAAAATCCATCTTTTTCTGCAGCGTCCCAAAGAGAAAGAGAGAGAGAAAAAAAATAAATTAAATTCGCCCTTCTTCCGAAATTAAACAAAACCAAATTATTTTTGAGCAAGAGGAGAGGAAAATGCAGTGAGTGAGCGAGAGAGAATAAGTCTGGAGGCATGCAGCTTTATGAACTCTGGTTGAACCGCGGCTGGAGTCAGGCTCGTAAATCATAAAGACACATAACCCCGGCACAACAGCTCGGCTGCCTTACCTTCAGCGCTCATTCCGGCGCGGGAAACAAAAACCACGCAGGACTCCTCACACCTTTAGGAACGAGTAAAAAAAAAAAAAAAAGAAAGAAAGAAAGAAAGAAAGAAAAAAAACAGTAAAATAAAATAACTCCCCCCCAACAGGTCAGAATAAACCCCGAGCAGAGAAAGAGGTGCAGGTGGATGAGGGGTGAAGAGCAGCAGAGTGGACACGGGGTTTTTCTTTCTGCAGCTCAGACCGCCCTGCGCGCGCTGTTAATCTGCACACTACGTGGGTGTGTGAGTGTGTGTGTGTGTGTGTGTGTATGCGCGCGCGTGGGGGAAAAAAAAAGCCCTTTCTGCTGATCATGCAAGCTCGGTTTCATGTATGGGAATAGCTCTGCGATAAGATCATGAAAAGGGATTTTGTATTAGAAATATAATAATTTGACATGAATAAAAATTGTATTTTTTAAAAAAAAGAGGAGACGGAACATCTCAGATACTTTTTTTCATCACCATTACCTTCTGAAATAAACTACTTGTAAGGCATTTTAGTCGAATTTTATGTCTGAATTTATTAATTTATTAATTTATTAATTTATTAATTTATTTATTTATAATCAATAGTTCCTACGTGTACGGCCTCCCGCTTAGGGCCGAAGAAGAAAGACACGCTCTCCATAACGAGCCCTTCTCCCCATCCTCTAATTTAAATTAGTGATCAGATGGGCCCATTTCAGAGCACTAAAGTGGAGACAGAGCAGAGGCGGCCGGCGCAGCGGCGTCCATTAAAAAGACTCCGTGCAGAAAGAAGTTGATACTGTAATGTTGCTGCTGATTTGGCTTTCCACGGTGACAGTCGGGCTGCTGCTGCTGCTGCAGCGGATCGATCGGCGCTGCTTTGATCCTCTCTTCTTTCCTTTCCTTTTTTCTTCTTCTTCTTTTTTTGTTCCGTGGTTTTAATTGGATCCTTAAGGTAATATTTAACCAGGTATAGTGTTAATTAATGCAAATTGGTGCCTTTGATCTCCGAAGCGAAATTGATCAAACAGAACAGCAATCTGACACAACAACCATCAGAATATGATATCTTCTCCAAACAGACTTTTATTGTGGAAGGTAAAATTTTTTTGCAAAATATGCCACAACTGAACGCTTACTGTTAAGGGTGAATAAGAATTGAGATTGTACAAATAAACCTACTATTTATACAAATAGCATGGTGATTTAATCGATTGCATTGTGCGTCATGTTTCCAGTTTATTCTGTGGGGTTTTTTTTTTTTTTTTAATGACGTTCAATAGAAAGCGAACACAGTGTCGATCCAATAAACGCTCTTGTTTCGTGACACGAACGCAAAGTTCAATTGATCGCTTTTGGTTTAACCCTGAAACATTAAAACTCCCCCAAATAAAATCAAAATGAAACGTGTTTGCCTAAAATGTATGCTGAATGCACAGCGGGAAACATGTGTTCGCAGCCAGACTGGTCAATAATCCATACGTCTTGCTGATGGCCTATAAAAGCTGCCATAAAAACAGAAAGAAAATCAGCAATGAGTGCGCTGTTTAGAAAATAAACCGCCTGCTGATGTATGGGAGGACGCGGAGGCTGTTGGGGGGGGGGGGGGGGGGGCGGCGGGGAAGATGGGCTGTTCTGATTCTGTATAAATACCCAGTCAACATGTGTGTATGCGGGCCCCATCTGGGTCTGGATGGGCAGCTACTGAATGCGCCTTGGCTCACAATGAGCGGCTGGCACTGGACTCATTAAGCTGTGCATGTTTTAGCAATGTGGGTCACGCTTATTGCCCAAAAAATGTCCGGTGTCAAACCTATCGAGTCAGTTCACATGAAGCCATCAAGTTTCCACGGACAATCCCAGTTTTCAACCATTTCATGTTCATGTGGGACCCACAAATGAAAGTTGTCTTCCTATTAGTACGAGCAGAGGTGGTTCAAGCTATGGGGCCCAAAGCAGAATCTAAAGTGTCTATGTAACACTTTAGATTCTGCCAATTTATTAGCAAGTCAAAAGGATTACTATAAATATTGCAATAAACGATGGAGAAAATGCCCTTTCTCTGACTTATATTTACAGTGTGATTCCAGCCACAGGCAGCACCACCAGGAGGTCGCGGGGGTCAATGGCTACCCCTAGAAATTAACTGCCCCTCCCCCCAAGCCGGAGAAAATAACAGAGGAAGTGCAAGAAGTTTTAACATTTATCTTTTTACAAAAATACATGTTAAAGTCGCAGTAAAACCCCTGCTAATTCTGCTGTGGCTTTCAGTTTTGATGTTCTGTGAGACGGCCCCCGTCTGGCGACCCGATGAAGACGTAGACTCCCCTGACTCCAGCAGAGAAGCAAAAGTTAGAAATGATGTCATCAAATTTACTTGTTATCGCGACTGTCTGAATCTATGAAGGCTTTGCTACTGATTGAGCTGTCAGTGCTTCAAACCCTGAATACTTTTAGAATGTGAAGTTTTGGAATCTGTGTTCACACTTGAGGACTGGTCTCCTACTAGACACCAAGCAGAAGCTTAGCTCACGTATGCCTTAGGCCGGCTCTGGACAAACACACACACACACACACACACACACACACGCACACACACACACACACACTCAAAGCTGAGCAGACTATAGTTATCAGTCAGCGTTCCTGAGCTCGTCACCTCACTATCTGACGTTTGATGGACACGGCCACTTTCCAGCAGCCTCCATCCAGTCTGCAGGGCCCGCTGACAAATGCAGCTCTCCGCAGCCTCTGCCGCTGTCAGTTAGCTGCAGAGGAGCCACGTGTTTGCAGGCACAGACGATTCATTGCTCTGAATTAATCCAGGGACAGTTGAATCAACAGTGGCAGCAACTCGATTTCCCACCGACAACACGAGCAAGGTAATAAATAAACTAATGCACTGATAAACATGCAACACAGAGATCCACTTTCGGAGCCTTTTAAGAGCGGCAAATAAACAGATTTACAACATTTCCAAGTTAGACAGTAACTCCTACAAGAATATTTGTAGCAAAAGAGATTGTGCACTAAATGGCATTGCCAACCAGTTCCTAATTGTCTGTAAAAATTTCAGCGTGGAAAATGGTGATTTAAATTAAACAATCAAATAATTGTTTTATTTAATTTGTTTAATTTCATTTAACTGTACGCTAGATTGTAATTTACTTTCCAAATGAGTTAGAAAACACTTTTGCAAACCTACTTCTGTTTTGCAGTCTTCCTCTTTCCTCTCGTCATCTTCCTCTCCTCTGGACAGATTCTCCTTCCAGCCGACTGACTGGGGTTGTAGCCGTTTGGTCGAGCGCCTCTTCGCATTTTACCCAGCAAACAGCAACTCCTCCTCGGCCACAGACAGAAAGGACGTGACAAATGATGTGCTGAACAATGACCACATTCAAGGCTCGCCCTGCAACTCTCCCAGATGTCATATTCACTAACAATGTGGCGCAAGAAAAGGAAAGAGAGGAAAAGGGGAGGGGAAAAGTGGGGGGAAAAACTCCACTGATGGCCTACAGCTTAGTATAAACTCAAGCAGAAATGTTGGAAAGTTTGTAGCTTCTTGTTAGGTTCCTTTATTCTTCTTCAGCTGAAGTTGAGGCGTCGGCGCCTGCATGCTCCCCAAGATGGGAATTTGCGACTCTGTTCATGTTTACACAAATTCGGATCTACAGGGTGAATACAGGTGACAATGTCATTCGTCTCTGCTGACAAAAACCTGAAAAAAGTAAATCGTGTAACAAAGCATGAACATTTCATCAAATCCAAATTGCTCTTGTGACTGTTAATTAAGCACTAATAAACTGAATAATGCCTACAATAGAGCTTTATAAATGTGTGTTAATATGTCGGAGTTTTTCCTTTCACAGGGAAATTTCCCTGTGACACTATAAGGCATCCTGTCCCACTCTTCTTTTGTCCAAGCTGCCAGGAAAAAGACAAAAAAGAAAAAGTTAATTAATAACTTAGTAAATAAAAAATAATAATAATATTGGTTTAAAATTGGTAAATCAATTTATTAATAGCTGTAAAGCTATAAAATAAAAATAAATTAGGTCAGACATGTTAGATAAGAGTTCATAAAGGATCTGGTTATATATAACACTATTAATTTTAGATACATATTAGAAAAGGGCCTAACTTATAGTCTGTTGATAAAATTATATGTTATTATAATTTTCAATATATAATTTTAGATTAACAGTCTTAAACATAAGCATATGAATAAGACTAGCACACTCAATCCTCTCTCATTAATATTAATTAGGCTTTAATAAAGGGCCTAATATGTTGCTAAAATGGTTTTTACTCACCAATAAAGTTTCAAATAAAAATAACATTAGGTTAGAAATTTTCATATAGATTCATTACAGGGGAATATTTTAAAATCATGTTATTAATGTTACTTAGTTAAAGAGCTACTACTCGTTATCCATCACGCCTAACACATTTGATCCATAAATGTTAACCATGTATTAATAAAACATAATTCATAAAGTTTGAAATGTTTATAAGAAGGTTACTAAGTGGTCTAACATACTAACACTCATGTTATGTCACATCAGATAAGACCTGATGAGGGCATGCAATATACAAATGTAATGCTTAAAATACTAATACTTCATTAATGCTGTTTAAAATGTAAAAACATAATGTTAGAATGAATACACAAATCATCTTTTGTTATTTAACTAGTTAGAAATTAAGTCTAAACAGGTGTAAAAGTTGTTGATGTGACAGATATGTTTTTTAATGAGACACAACTAATAACAACACAGACTAAGAAACAAAATCACAGGTTAGAAATATATAAACATTAATAAAACACACTAATACATGACATGTTAAAGATGTAAAATAGCTGTGCTCTATTTAAAGGCTTAACACAAATAATTCAGTTGTAAAATGTATTAAAGCATTAATAAATGATCTACTGCATTCAGGGTCCACATGTTAACTTTACATCACAAAATAGTCTAATGCTCTTTATCTGATAATAAACAGACAATTGAGCAATGGTACGTTTTTTTATTAAAAGGAATTCATTATAAGCATTAATGGGGCATTTATTGTCAAAAAATTATACTCATGTATTCTTGATCTTTCTTATTAAAACGTTTGTTTCAGTTGTGCTGGTTCACCCACAAATCAGTGCCTCACTAAAGTATTTTAACTTTTCCACGTTTTATCACATTACAGCCACAAACCTTTTAGTATTTTGGAGGATTTTATCTAGTAGACCAACACAAAATAGAACAAAATGGTGAAGTGAGAGGAAATTATACACAGGTTTCTCTATTTATTAACAAAGTCATGCTTTTATCTCCCCTCTCCCTTTATCCTGCTACACATAAATAAAATTCAACGCAGTCATCTGATTAGTAAACAGAGTCCAAAACAGAATTCACCTCTATATAATGTACCTTCAGTATAAATCCAGCTGTTCTGTGGAGAAGTTTAAAGCAGTAAGGTTCTGCAAAGATAGCTCAAGCGTTAGGATATTTCACAGCACTGTTGAGTCCTTTGTGGAAAGAAACGGTGCCACTAACCTGAAACACAGTTGTTCACTTAAACTGGCATGCCGGGCATGGAGAGCATTTATGATAGAAACAGCAAAAATGTTTTCAGTACCACAGGTAGATTTGAAGAGATTCATGGATCAGGTGTGAGAATCCATTACAAGGACTATTATTATTTAACTATAACTCTCTAGGACTGAAAGAAAGTCTTAAGTAGTCACATGTACAATTTCACCTACACCAGGTCGAATGAGATGATTAGTGTGACTCTTTGGTCTAAATGCCGAATGCTTTGTGAATCAGAAAAGCAACACATATCACCCAGAACGGACCATCCCACTGTGAAGCATGGTAGTGGCAGCCTCATGCTGTCGCTTTCCTTCAACAGGTAGGAAAACTGATCAGAGTTGATTAGAATGGTAGAATCAGACGGTGGGCAAACCTTGATGGCAACCTGTTGAAGGCGGCAGAACTCTTGAGATCGAGGCAGAATTCCTCCTTTTGAGCAACACAAGTTTATAACGTCTGAGGCAACACTTGAAAAATAATCTAGTCTAATCTAATCTAAAGTAATCTGACTGATGTGCTGCAATTTGGCAAAGGATAATGACCACAAATTTTAAATCTGCAACTTGTGGCTACTTTCAGCAAACAGTTGTTCTACAAAATACAGACTCAGACAGGCCGAATACAAAGGTATGCCACGCTTTTCAGATTTTAAATGGAAGAATGAATATAAGTACTTTTACAGTCTTATTTCGTAGTGTCATGATATAATCTGTTGAGACCGTCCAAGTCTGTGTATGGCACCCTGTGAAACAGTCAGAGGGGAATACTTTAGCAAAGCACTGTGTGCATAATCCAGTGATTCTAGTTTACAGGGTACGGCTGACAGCGAATAAACAAAGTTTCCCCAAGGCAACGTCCTTTATGAATATTTATTATATCCATCTGAGATATTAACATATTTGTTCGATGAAATATTTGTTCGTGTCTCTTTGCAACGCTCTTTCACTTCATCATCTTCCCATTTCGCCACTACGCACAGTATTTTATTTAATTATTTATTCATCCTCCATGTACGGCCAATTTGAAGTGCAGAAGTCTTTCATTTTAATGCAAGCACTTTATTACTGCTCAGTATTGTTTGTTTTAAACAATAAATATAAATCTTCTTTAAAGTGTTTGTCGCTTTTAAAAACAAATGAGAATCCGCAGAAGCATCCCGCAGCTCAGAGAAGCTTTATTTACACCGCTGAAGCCAAAGACTTAACCAACAAACCACTCGGCTTGCTTCTGCTTGGTAACCTACGGCTGATAAGAGCCTGACCTGAAAGGGAGGGGAAACAAACTCATCCATCATCCGCCCGGTCGGTCTGAGGCGCCCTCTGCTGGCAGAACCGCTGCATCACAGCAGCTCCCTCTCACACGCAGACAGATGTTCAGCGCACGAAAAGCCGACCAGCCCCCCCAAAAAATGCGCAAGGTGACATTTGTTTCATCTACTTTATCATCATCATCATCATCGTTTTTAAATAAGCAAAAGTTAATCAAATTAATTTTGATACGTAAATCTGACTTAAATGTAACTTATTTTCTTGTATTTGAATATTAGCAATTTTGCACGAACATAAACTGTTAAAATGACAATAGTTGTGATTTTTTTTTTAAAAAGAGCTCTCAAAATAACAATAAAAACCATTAATACGTTTTTATTCTAAAGCATAATAAGTAAAACAAGCAATGCATTCTCTCAATGAATGCTCTTTAAGTTTTTTTGTTTGGAGGTTTTTACCTAATTCAAAAAAATGTCACTGATAATAAAAACATATGATGATTATTAACTATCATAAATAGAACATTTCGCCTTTTTTCTGCAAACAGCCTTTTGTCAGCACTCTTGAGGCTCGGAGTAGTGACAGTGCAAAGTCTGGCTGCAGCGCGCTTCCTTCCTCCTGACGCATCTGTGGCTGCAGTCTATCGTCTCCTGACCCGCCGATGATCCCGGCTTCAATGAATTATGCATGAGATCCGGGCACAGATTACCCCTATCAATATGCAATACTCATTACGCTGGCTAAATTGCCACTTAATAGTTATGAATATGTGGAAAATGTCTGGAACTCATATATAGCCCACCACTACTTTTAACTTTTTTTTTTCCTTTCTTTCTTTTTTTTACCTGAAATTAGTTGGGTAATACAGCCTCCTACTTCCTTCATTATATTTTATTATTGGTTGCTAGACAATGCGCGATGGGTTCAGGCTAGGATTTCAGCCTGAGTCCAGCTCGCAGTTGTCCGAGACTTCACCTTTGGCCGCTCAGTGACTCCGCGGAAAGGCATAAATCACCCGCTCAAGTTCGCTCCATGGCAGCCCGATTGTGCTTAAAGAGGTTTGTTTTTCCTCCAACTTTTATTGTGACGTTGAAAATCAAGCACTTTATTATGTATGTTTTTCTCGTTTGGAAAAAAAAATATTGCTACTAATATTTACCGATGCGACAAAAACGCAGCAGCACGAGTTAATATATCTTTATTGACTGAAATAGACGTGTTCAAATCTGCTTAGGAATCTGTATTTTATTTTAATTAGTAAGCCAAACATATCAGCCATACCGTTTTCTCACACAGTAAGAGTGTGGGAAACGCATTTTTTGTATTCTTCCTTAAAAGGTACGCTATAAAAAAAAAATTATTTGTTTAATATATAATTTTTTTATCAACTTTGTAAAAGTAGTACTCAAGTCTAACAATATTAAAACTTCTTTTTGGAAACAAATATCACTTAGGTTTAAAATTTGAAGTTAAACATTAGTTAACTTTGTCATTGTTCTCAGTTAGCAAATAATAAACGTGATTTGTTTATTTAAGTTAAGTTGTGCTATGAATTAATATATCAACTTTGTAAAATAATTACATACTGTAATGAGACTTGGTTTCCGTGATGGAGCAAAAAATATAAGAATATCCCAGCTTTAACTATTTTAGCAACAGTGTTATTTAGCATGCTAAAGTCAAACGAGTTACCAACCTGAGCTTCTTAACTGTGATGTAAATGTTGTCAATGAACAGGACATATTAGCTGTGGTTGTCAGAAAAGAGGCTAACATTTCTTGTTAAAATAAAAAGAAATGGAAAACCAGTAAAGTTTACCTGGCACTGGGTACTAGCAAAGTGACAGCGCTAATGCTAACGTCATGCTAGCAAGCGGAGCTTCCTAACTCCAAACCTGCTGTTGCCCTTCAGCTTAGCTGACAGATAAAAGGTGCCAATTTGCTGAAATATATTTAAAAACTTTATAAATGTTTCAATTGATCTACACTTTTTAAAAAGCTGAAGGGAATTTAACTACTTGAAACTACTTGACTTTAACTACTTGAAATGGCTATTCGCAACTACTTTTTAGTGAAAGTTGAACTTCCATTACTTAAACCAGCTTTAAAATTTAAGCTAGAAATGCTTCGACAGTTTGTAACTTTTACAAAGTTGATCAACTCAGTCATAATGTAGCAGGCATCAACACACCAGCTTTTCTGGTCTCTGTTGGACAATGAGGCGTTTGTTTTACAAAAGCCGCATGAATTCATTATTAGGTATATTCCTTAAAAAATAATGTATACAAATATTTATGCTATTTAATCTTTAATGTAATCTCTTAGACACAAACGTGTTACTCATTTCTTTAAGAAAGAGAGAACAAAACACGTGAGCAAAATTAACTTTGTAACAATTAGTTGGGTAAGTTGGTTGAAATTTGATTTTTTTTTTAAAGTGAGTCCAGTTGTTAAATTAACAGTATTTCAAAATAGAAATATTGAACAGAATCTTCCAAAATATAACTTTTTAAATTGTTAATTACGTTTATTAGACCGTACCAAGGACTGAATCTAAAATAAAAATAAAGAAATAAACACTTTTTAACTTCTTCGCCGGTACAAACTGACTATAAACATGACTGGACATCTCTTCCTTCCCAAGTCTACCCTTTGCAGTCCCATCCATGCAGTTAAGCCGTCACTTTCATTCAAGGTTGTGAATTATATAGTACATTGTCTACTCCCCAAAACCATAAAACCAACTTTATGGACCTCACGTGACTTTTCACAGTCTGTAAGTAATATAGGCCTTTACAATCTTTGGTAAGGAGGTATTTTTTACCAACTTCTGCCTTGCCAATATACCTTTTAAGCCCAAAGTAGTCCTATTTTTTTATTATTATTATTATCATCATCATTATTATTATGAGAGATGGATTTGATCAGGATTTCTCCCGTGGACAAAAAAATAAATAAAATAAAACTCGTCTCGCTTCAGGGAGTTCAGAAGAGGTAAGTCTGAAAAAGTCTTCTCTTTCTCTTTAAACGGAGGGAAAAGTGCGTTTAAAACGCAACACCGCCTTACGGGTTAATCATTAATTTGGCTGAAAGTTGATATGCCTTCCTGCGCTAAAAGAAACAACTCGGCAAAAGTCAGGGAGTTTTGCTTATTTGCTTTTTATTCTAACCGATAATTCACTGCACACAAAAAAAAAATCAACTGAGGGAAAGTTTATTTTTCAAGCGCTATGAGTTCACGTACAAATACAAAAAGCTCCAAAAAGCTCACATCACTGCCTATATCCACAGAATAACCCTTTGCACTAAAAATTCATCACATTGACAGGTTGAATACACTTGCATTGCTTGTTATTCTAAACAATAATAATTAGAATAATTAGAATAATAATAATAATAAACGCACAACGTATCCTATAGAGCTACACATTGGCTTGCTTATGAAACTTTTCTATGGATTTTGGCCACAAATAACCATCACTAAAAGCGCTTTACATTCAATGAAGAGCAGCATATGGTTTGGGATTTTTTTTTCTTCTTCTTCTTCTTTAACTGTACAATGATTTTTACTCCTGTTAGACCGACAAGAAGTTACAATAAAGAGCTCAACTTTAAGAGACAGAAGAGACAGAAAGAGAGACAAATTCCCAGAATGATATTTACATCTTATTATGCTTTTCTTTTACCCCCCCCCACCCCCCCAAATAGGACATCTAAGCTATGATAGTACAACAACAGTAAACTAAAAATGGCATTTTAAGACCACAGAATACTTCTTCTTTATTTTTTTTTCTATCACAATGGCATGCTGGAAGGTGCTGCGCTTTCAAAAGCTTTACAGTACTCATCAATTTTCTCTCTCTATTTTTTTGGGGAATTTTATTATCACTTTTCTTTTGTTTGTTTTTTTGTTTGTTTGTTTGTTTCTTTTTTTTTTTTGTTGTAGTTGTTGTACCCTTGCCTCCCAAAAACAAAACAAAACAAAAAGAAAAAGTTGCTCAGTTGTGGAAGGCGCTGCCTCCTGTCACAAGGCTCATACTTTTCAGCTTATTGTCCTTCTTCCACTTCATCCTGCGGTTCTGAAACCAGATTTTGATCTGTCTCTCGGAAAGACACAGGGCGTGGGCTATCTCTATCCTCCGCCGTCTGGTTAGGTACCTATTGAAGTGAAACTCTTTCTCCAGCTCTAGCGTCTGGTAGCGGGTGTACGCGGTTCGGGCCCTTTTCCCGTCAGGTCCAGTCATATCTACGTTTTGCACACACACACACAAAAAAAATAAAAATAAAAAATAAAATAAAAAAGTAAAAAATATCCAGAAAATTAGCAGAACAACTTTCTAAAGGGGGAGGATATTGCCAGTTTATGTAATTGTTTTTATTGTTATTATATATATTTTTTTTAATTTTCTGGCTTTTTTTATGATGGAGCATGGGATGATGCAAAGAGTGGGGGGGGAAGCATGCAGACATGCAAACTGTCAGTTATTAGCGTCTTTCCTATTTGCAGCCCTCACAGAAAGCGCGTCCCCATATTTTTGCGCGCATTTAATCCAGATTTCATGATTTCATGAAAGCAGTCTCTCTCTCTCAGCCGTGGGTTTATAAACCTCCACCGACAAAACAAACACGCAAACAAGCCCACAAACATCTCACAAATACTGCCCTGTTTTCCACCAGCCTGCTCACTCATGCAACGCCTGACAGATTAATGGCACACCGGCAGCGTGACATCCCCTCCAAACACAATAATATTAGACGTGTGTGGATATACCATGGCTTATGTGCAGTTTCCGCATCCAGGGGAATATTTGTGGCGTTTGGCACTCATTTGGTGTGGGAGTGGAGGAGGTGGCGTTGGGTTCCTGGTGCTGCTGCTGCTGCTGCTGCTGTTGCTGCTGCGCCCTGGATGCCGCGCCGGAGCCTCCTCCGCCACCGCCGCCGCTGCTGTGCGCGCCTTCCTCGGTCTCGGCAGCGACGGCGGCGGCGGCGGCTGCTGCTGCTGCTGCTGCAGCTGCGTCCTCTATCTCCGCGAAGTGCGCGCCCCCGGCTTTGCCGAGGCTGTTGCCACCCGATGAAGAGGTCGCGCTCCGGTCAGAGGGGGGAGAGGGGCTCTTGAGCTCCAGCGGATCCCGGCCGGCCGTGGCGCACGAAGGCGGCACCGGGTCCGGGGACGAGAGCGAGCAGTTGGGCGTCTGTCTGTAGCGGGCGTCCGGCGCGAATCCCCGGGCGTCCTCCCGCACGGCGCCGAAGTGGCCGCCGGTGTTGTTGCGGTTCACGGTTAGGTCCATGCCATTGTAGTTGTAGCCGAAAGACCCGGAGTGCATGGTGCCAGGGTCTCTGAAGGAGCCGCTCACAGCGCCGTTAGTCCCATAATTTAGTAACTGATAGTCGGAGCCATTTGGATAGCGCCCTGAGAACGAGTTTACAAAGTAAGAGCTCATTTGCTTGGATTTTTAAAGCCTCGATTTGTAGATCTTTGTCGCTATAATCCTGTGTGCTTGCACGATTTATGGACGCAATCATGAATTATAAGCAATGAAGCCCTACTGTACTTTGCCAGGTATGCGGCCAAATATGGGAGAGCGCTCGGGAATCACGTGCCTTTGTTGACCAGTCGTAAATCCTCACTGATGACTTCAAGAGGTAATTCATGCTCCATGGTTACAAATGATGACGAAATAATGGTCGTTAGGCTCCAGTCAATGGTGCCTCCCCGCTGCGCCCCCGAGAGCCGCGCAGGCAGCGAGCGCCATCTGCTGGACAGAGGCGGCATCGCTGCGAGGCCGCGCGGAGTCCATCCATCATCTCTGTAAACCGGCTCATAACAACAGGCCACAGCAGGCTCAGGTAACACATAACAGAAAGTTTATCAGCCCCGCTGTTGTCATGTTGCGCTACAGTGCGTCGAACCGGAATTTATTTCACCCTTTGCTTTGATGTTTTATCATTTCATGCGCCTTATGGGTGGCATGAGCGGCAGCACAGACGCCACGGTAATGATAATGAGGGCAATAATAATATATTTTAGGAAGAACGAGAGCAAGATTTTGCAGATTTACATCAAAAAGCCTTTATTTTATTATATGTACAATTCCCCTAAAGAAAATATTGCACACAATATCCAGATGTGCATTGAACACGTGAGACAACAATAAATAACATTTGTACAAATTGAACTCATCGGTAAACAACAAGCCTAAAGACTATATCACAGTCACATCAGAGCAACTACACAACAAGGGACAAACAAAAAAAAAAAAAAAACCTGCTTTAATGTCACTGAGATTAAATAAAGGTGGCGCCCAGCGGGCCTATAGTGATGAGGTAACAACACTGAGAACTATAAACGCTGGGTTTTATTTACAGTTTGGCGGTTTGTTGCATAGTCCTCTAAAATAAAGACACGAGCACAAGGACAAACAAACAGAGGAGGACCTGATAAATGCGGACAGAGTCACCGTGCAAATACTCAAAGTCACTCTACACGTCTCTAACGTGGGGTTTCTGCAGCACTTCTTATATCTACAAAGAATTTATACATCATTTTATGTGTACACACGCACACACACGCACGCACGCACGCACACATTCAAGCGTTTCTTCTTCTTCGTTTTTTGTCTCAGAGTCTCCTTTGTAGTTTAGCTCTTCTTCTCCGCCTGCTCCTGCTCCTCCTCCTCGGCTGTCTTTGAGGGATTCAGGAGTTTGTTCTCCTTTTTCCACTTCATCCTGCGGTTCTGGAACCAGATTTTGATCTGTCTCTCCGTCAGGCACAGGGCGTGGGAGATTTCTATCCGGCGCCTGCGGGTCAGGTAGCGGTTGAAGTGGAACTCCTTCTCCAGCTCCAGGGTCTGGTAGCGGGTGTAGGTCTGCCGGCCCCTGCGGCCGCTGCTGCCAAATGGGCCTGCAAATCCCAATAAATAAATAAATAAATAAATAAAAGCACAAAAACAAAATTCACCAGCAAATTATTAAAACTATAAATGGAGATTTAGCTTAAATAAAATAAAACAACAAAATAACAAAATGATGGTCATGGTGAAACTTTGCAGATATTTGACTGGAATATATTTGCATATTTTCTTTCTTGATATGCGTTTAACAGACTACAAATGTCATACTAAGACGACATTTTGGGGAAAAAAATCTATATTTTATAGTAGGATATCATTTTTTACCCCCAAAAAATGACGCAATATAACCAACATCCATGCAGAATCATGTAAAATGACATTAAACCGACCCAGTGTGGGGTGAACTCACGTTGCCTCATGCATTTTATTTTCCTTTAGGCAACTGAACAACTGAGATCCGTGGCTTCTGTTGTTTACATTTTTAACCTATAGATCTTCTAGTGCACGTTTCTGACAGTAATGCACTGTGGGTAACTTATGAAAATCAACCTGCTGTAAATTGTCTCTGTCACACGTCGTCATGTGTATTTTTCTGTTGTTAGTGCAGCCAGCAAAGCATTTATTTCATGCATGCTCAGTTGGCTTTGTTTTTATTCGTTCATGCATATATATGTATACTGCTGCTGAACATTTGCGATTTCATTCTATAAATAATACGTCTTTGAATTCTATTCTATTCTATTCTATTCTATTCTATTCTATTCTAATGTGGTACTTGAAGAGTTTTTGTATTAAAATCTGAAAAGGACCATGTGACACGGGCTTGGTGCAGGCCCAGTCAGTGCGTGCGTTGCTGGGTGCGCGCGTGCAGTCCGGTGTTTGCGGCCAAAACTGCGAAAGCGCACCAAGATCTGCACATACAGTCCTTATTTAGTCTTCTGACCTGCCTCCATGCGTGCTTAAACTTTGTAAAGTTGATATAAAATATATATGTATATAGTTTTTTTTATTTTATTATATTTTATTTTTATGTTTAACATAAGAGAGATAAAACAAAAAAGGAGCGCGCGCACTCACCGGCGGAGCAGGCGTTCATCCTCTGCATCCAGGGGTAGATGAGAGTGGAGGACTTGTCGTCGATGCTGCCGCTCATGCTGACAGCTTGCTCCGCGCACTCCGCCTTGCGCTGCTGGTGCTCCTGAGTGACGAACAGCGGCTGCTCCTCGCGGCCGCTCGAGAAGGCGCACGAGCCCTCCGCGTCTTTGTAGAACGTGCCCACGGGGTTGTAGTCGCACGGCGCTCCGCCGCCGGCGGCAGCGCGGCCGTAGATGGCCGCCGCCGCCGCCGCGCCCGACTGCTGGTAGTAGGAAGCCGGGTAGACCTTCTCCTGCATGTTGGCCGCGCCATACGTGGCCGCGTTGGAGTAGTGCCTCAACGGGTCCGTGTATCCCGAGGAGTAGAGCGGTATCTGACCCAGGAGAGAGTCCTGTCCTCCCGGTAGAGACACGGGGAAAGTTGAGTTAACGAAATAGGAACTCATTGGGTGGACAACGGGGTGTATTTACTCCGGAGGAATATGATTTGTTGTCTTTTATAGTCCAAGTGCTTTTGCCATTACTTTATCGGAGATTTGGTTTTTGCTGAAAGGGGGGCTGTGAGGTGCCACTGGATACAGAGGGGAAGTGTACCATCTGATCAACCTCTGGCCAATCACCGCCGTCTGTGCTTGCACTATTGCACCCATGGGGGGCTCTTGTTGCGCACAGGAGTCCCCGGTGAATCGAAATGAAGCGCTCGAGCCAGTCGGTCTTTACGCGCGCTCACATAAAGGCACACTTTAACTCGCCGAATTGCATAATTAACAAAAACAAACAAACAACAACAAAAAAAGAAACACACCATTTGTTAGACAGAAAGTACGTGTATATATAAGTAAAAATCAAACCAAAACAATTATCTCTGCTTTATTCTCCCCTCTCAATTTCCACTTCCGCCCTATTAATTAACCCACTTTGAGCAGAACCGCGGTGATTAAACACTTCATTCTCAATGTCTTTACAAGCAGCAACTGACTGGTCTCATCTCACGCTTTCATTTCCCTAAAGGTGCGCGTCCCTGCTGATGTGTCCAGATGCAACTCTGACGTGCAGGAAGGCGCACGCAGGAAGGACTCGCTCAAGCACCACCATCATCATCACCACCTTCATCCCCATCACAATTAACACACACAGACCGAGTGTGCACGACCATCACACAGGTTCAATAAAAGAAAAGGTGGGATAAGTTTCAGGTACGTGCGTCGTTTCGCCACACGTATCACGCTGTTTGCTCTCCTGATGGCAGCACAAATGTCAAGATTTCAGCAGATCAAACAAAACTAAATCGTTGCATTTTTAGTTCGTTTTAATCTTGTGGGTCAAATCCTTAGCTCTCAGTTGGAAACGTGCGGATTTTGCAAGTTGAACAGAAGAGTAAAAGAGTAAATAAATAAATAAATAAATAAATAAATAAGAATATTCAAGTGAATCCACGCAGTCAAATGCTAATGATTTAAGTTTATTCGAAAGGAAAAAATAACGAATACCTAATATTTATCACAAAATTAATCAGAGCAACATTTGCAGCAGGTTCAGATTTTCGCTTATATAAAAAAAAAACCTCTTTCTGTTTTTCTTTATATTTATGTATGTCACTTCTTTCTTTGTTTTTTCTTTTAGAAAACGTATGAAAAAAACAATCGAATAAGATGTTTCATCCAATGAACTTTTTTTATAAAATATTTTGCAAGCATATTGTTCAGACTTTAAAGGGAAAATGATATATTTTGGCATGTTTTTAGTGGATGTAAAATCCTAAACATTAATAACTGTTTTGTAAAAGCATGAAAAGATTTTTTTTTCTACTTTGAATCAAATTTTGAATCAATTTCTGGTTCTGAAAATAACGCATCGACGCGCAGCGGAGGCGCCACGGTAGATGGGAACAAATAAAAAATAAAAATGCATTCAGGAAACCGGAAAAGATGTGAAGCTGAATATAAAATCAGAAATAAGGCAAACAAAGGGGTTATGTGGGTTAATTTTTTTGTCCAAAAAGAGATCTGAACTGCTGTGAAAGCTAAAAGCGCAATGAGGAAACGGTGGTGCGCCAAATCACCAAAAAAGGCTCTAAACGTGTTTTCCTGAAACAAACAACGTAAAAAAATAAAATAAAAAAAACGGGCGTACAACAAAACACGATAAAAAAAAAGAAACAGAACAAGTGGTGGGCAAATTAGGTTAATCTCAAATGAGAACATGCCCCAGTGGTGGCGCGGGGCCTTCATGACCCTCATCTTTACCTTCATCATCATCATCAAAGTCAAGCGTGTGGCCTACAGCCACAAATTTCACTCCATCAGACTCCGAAAAGGGCCTCGAAAGCAAAACCTTTGCTGTAATTCCCCCTCATTTCAGCAGATAGATGTCGGCGGTTGGAGGCGCTGCAGCACCTCAGGGGTTAATCAAAGTAAGCAGCTGCGTGGTAAGAGCACCAACAGAAAGAGAAAACACGCTCGCTGAATAATTGCCCTTTCTTAAAGGGGAGCTTTTCCCCTTTTCCCAGTCATGTAAACACCAGGCCTGCAGTGACAGCAGCAGCAGCAGCAGCGCAAATCAGAACCAGGGTGCCCTTACCTTTGTTGATAATCCATCATCACCAGCGTGGCTGCCACTCCGCTGGAGCTCCTGTCGCTTCCCCCAACACACACGAAAAAAAAAGAAAGAAATCTCCACTTTGCCTAAGTGACAACTTGAAAGTAATCCCTCCATCTAGGAGTGTGCTGATCCCTCATTTCCAAAAGCCACAGAGGTGCAGCTAGATGAACATGGCGCACGGTGAGTCGCGCAAGAGGCGCCATCATCCCTCCCAAAAAAAAAAAAAAAATTCACATCACACAGCGAACCACAATAACAGCTTCACCTACACGCGTGTTTCAGCTCACGGAAGAACTCGGGGAAAACAAACATTTTAAAAATAAAAAGGTTGGGACTGTGAAACAAACTGTTATAGGTGAATGAGCGGTGCAAAAAACAGCAGCTGCATTATAACCTCATGGGGAATAAGTTCCCATTCCTGCTGGCCACATGACCGCCACGGACCAATCCCAGAGCCGGACGAGTCGTAAACTTCCACGGGAAAGTTGTAAATTTTCATAAACCGCAGAGGTTTTTTTGTGCTTTTGGACGAGGTTTCCCTTCGCCATGTTTGTTTTTGTGTGTGTGTGTGTGTGTGTGTGTGTGTGACAAAGCAGGGATGTTTGGCTTTAAAGTTGCATTAGAAAGGAAAGTGGAGATGTTATAAGGTGTGCAGGACGCGCGCTTGATTCCGCTGCTGCTGTGTGAAAGGTTTGTTTACCTTCTTAGAGCTCTGCTTTGGACACTGTGCTCCAACAAATGCGTCACAACAATATACAAAATTTTATATTTTCTCTCTCTTTAAAGGCAGTTTTTAAGACAGAGAGCAGCTGCAGATACATAATCAGGAACTTTACTGTTTATTAAAACTATTTGTTGTTTAATTTAAGCTTTAAAGATATTTGCGTAAATAAGCTACATAATAATAATTTTAAAAAACACACACACATACACATATATATATATATATATATATATATATATATATATATATATATACACACACACACAAACACAGAATTCAGTGTTTTGGTCAAGCACTGAAGAAATGTTCAACTCAATTACGTTCTGCAGAGAAAATGTAAACAAGCATTTTCCCAAAAACTAAAAAAATAAAAATAAAAATATAACTACTGACTAATTTCTGGTACAAAGTCTGAAAGAAATCTCTCTCTCTTTTATTTTTTAATCCTTTCTCCTCTTTTTGTAATTGTTCTCTTCAGGTCTCATTTCCGCTCTGCTTTAGTCAGAGTGCATCTTTTCCGCTGGCCTGCTGGTGTTTTTCCAACACTAAAAGAGGATTTCCGACGTTTATAGACGCAATAAAACCATAAATTCCTCGAGTGCCTCTAGTAATTAAAAGCTCCCAGGACTAAGTAGCTATTTATTTATTGAAACACAAAGTTAAAAAGGGGGCGGGGGGAATGGATGCGTTAAAGGCATTCCGAATCAAAGTTGTGCATTAAATCTTATTTTTGAGAACTCCACCCCCAAAAAATAACGAGTGAAAATGAATTGATAAAAGTAGCCAAGTTTTCTCCCAGAGGCCTACACTGCGCGGCGTTAGTGGCGCATTCAGCTTAGTAATAAATTCATAATTAAGATAAAACAGACAGCGAGGCCTGCAAACATTTCTGCTGCAAATCAACCAAACAGAACATAGAAATGTTTAAAATTCACCTTTTTTTTAACCCATCCACCAATTTTATCAGAAGTTTGTATTGCTCCAGACATTTACAGAGCTCTACGAAATTGTTTTTGATCACCTTTTGGGTTTTATTGTTTTTATAAATTGCGGAATTCTGGATTATTTTTGATCATTTTTATCGAACCATCTATACTTTTTTTTTTACTTTGTTGTTATTCTATTATTATTATTATTATTATTATTATTATTATCTGTGTTTTCAATTTGTAAAGCAAACAAAGAAACTTTGTTCTTTTTAACTGTATGGCCTTTAAAAACAATGTGAAGAATAAAAAAATCCAATTCAAATATTGCAACAAAATATTTTAAATATTTATCTTAAATGCATTTATTCTCATAATTATCTTTTTTGGAAAACGATTACATGTATTTTCTTACAATTAGATCTCTCAAATGTATAATCAAATTCATTAATTAGTCTGTTAAAACGGTTTCGATGGTGATTTTCAAGCATTTTTACATTGTCTTGAGTAGCAAGCAAAAAATGTGATACCAATGTGGCTGTTTTTAAAGAATTACTTTTTAATCAAATGACACTTCAAGAAATTCTCTGATTTCAATAACCCAGTTTCTTTATTTAAAATGTTCTCAGATTAAATACATATCTCTTTTTCTATATAGCAGATAACTGATTTTTTTTTTCTTTTATCATGGCACTCAACGAGGGTTTTATCTGATATAAAACTTCATATTTGTGTGGGCCGTTTTATTAAAGGAGTGTAAACTTGAGCTTCGCAGATATAAAATCCATTACAGCATTTTTTTCATATAGGCACTGTGTATTTTACTTTCACAGTTAAATATTGCTCTGCCTCCACCACCACCCAGGTGCTTTAACAAATCCTGCACAGACCCCGCCTGGATCTCCCGGTCCTCCTTCGAGGGGCTTCGGAGGTCGGCGGCCCCGCTCCTCAGAGTCTTTTATAGGGCCGGGGGACTCTCCGGGGGGAGCTGTGGTCGATGGGAGAGAAGCCAGGCCTCCGGAGCAGCGGGACGCGCGTGGAGACGATGAGGAGGCTCGGCAGGTCTGCGGTGTGGTTGGACGAGTTGTCACAGTGCAGACCCCTCGTGGGGTTTATGACGGGGACCCTTCCTCTGGACTTTGAGGCGTCCGTGGTGCTGTTAACTGAAGAGAGGAGGAGGTGGACAATGAGAGGAGCGCCAAACAAAGGCTTCTCGACTGATTCACACAGTTTATAATGCATTTATTTATTTATTCATGTGGTTATGAACGAGCATCGATGGAGTCGACATTAAGGATTAAATTTTATTCCACTTTTTTTGTTTCCTCCCTCCATGACGTTTTTGATCTTAGGAGTCATTAAAAAACTATTTCTGTTGTTTGTTTGCTTTTTCCAAACAACAGAAAAGAGAGAACGCGTATATATACTTCATCAGCTGCTCTAGGTCTAAACCACCTGGGTCCGGTGGTGCCGTGTCGGGACTGGGCTCTACCTTGATAGGGTCCCAGGTGGGTGCCGGAGGTCCTGTGGCCCTCTCCCATCCTGTAAAGGCTCTCCACGTCTAGTTGCAGGCAGGCGTGCTCGTTCAGGCTCCTCTGTTTCGTCGTGGGACAAAAGCAAATACTTTTGAGTCGCCACGCGTCACTGGGACGGGCGCAACAAAACAATCTGAAATGTCATTTGAATGATCTCACAAGGATTTTCTTTTTTTTTTTATTTTATTTCGCAAATAATCCGTGTACGGCTTGAGCATCTGTGAGGTGCAGAGTTTACTCCATCGTTCTGATTTTCCACGGATGTTCTCTTTAATCACAGAGCTGCAGGGCTGGTTGTTCAATTCTCTGCCATGTTTTCAGATCAAGACATCAAACTTCAAAATGAGGAATGAATATTTGAATGTTGTTAGCTTATTTGATTCAGGCTGTTCTTTGTCATGAACACTGACAAAAATGCTCTTTTTGTTTTATATATATATATATATATATATATATATATATATATATATATATATATATATATATATATTCCTTTTTACCACTTTTTGTCAAGTGACATATTATTAATAACTAACAGAATTATTTGTAATTGCAGTTATTTTTGGAACCAGGTTACAGGCATTAAGTCAGGGACAATCAGAAAAAAATGTTTCCCAATTTTTTTTTTTAAATGAAGTTGTATAAAAAGGCAGATTCATAATTATAATAGGAATAACTATGAAGGATTGGCTCCATTTAAAATCTATCAGATTGATTCCTGATTGCCGCTCGCTTGAACTTCCCCACATCTCTGTCATGTTACAACCACAAATCTGTACTGTATTTTAACAGAAATGTATTTTTTGTGCCTAAATTAAATTCATAAGAAAATATCATAATTTTTTTCTAAGTAAAAATCTTATTTATATGTGTCTTTGTGTTTCTCTCACTTTGTTGAACCACCTTTTGTTCCCATTACTTTACACAATTAAAGAGTGACTTTTATTTTTTTTTAACCAATTCTTCTTTGAGAAAGAAGGTTAATCAGCTTGACTTTGACTGGGCCATTTCAAAATTTGATCTAAATCATTCTGCTGTAAACTTTTCCAGCTTCTGGAAGATTTTCTCCCAGAACCGTCTTGTATTCAGCTCTATCAATCTTATCCGAACCGTTTCCATGCCTCTGCCATGACGCTGCCATCACCGTGTTTTAAATATGACATGCAGTGTGATGTTCCTGCCACAAACAGTTTCATTTTATGGGGATGACCATGTCTTGGTAGGGTTGCGGTTGCATCACACCTTTTCTGAAGAGTTTTTGTATATTTTATCACCTAAACCTGCTTTAAGCTCATCTGCAGCGTCGTCTGCTGGGCTGTTTGTTCACTAATGTTCTCTAGCAAACCTCTGAGGCCTTCATAGAACGGCTGGGATTATACTCCGGATTAAATTACACACAGATTAACTCTATTTTAGGTGTCTTTTAAGGGCGACTGTTTGTACTTTAAAGCACAAATTAATTATGTCTTTAAAATAATAAAGTCATCTTTTCAATATTGCAATCCCCTCCTGTTGTAGAAACGCATTTCCTGAACATGGAAAACCGAACAACGCTACCACACTTTGGGCTTAATCTCTCTGGAGGGAAGAATTTGAAACTAAATTGTATTGTAAAAAAAAAAAAAAAAAAAAAAAATGTATCACTTTGTGTTGGTGTGTCACATAAAATCCCATTAGAATAAATTGCAGGTTGTGGTTGTAACGTGACAAAACGAAAAAAAAAAAAAAAAAAGAAGAAGCTTAAGGAGTGTGAAGGTGTGGTGTGACTTACCTGATATCTGTACTTGTCAGGGTAGTGCATTAGGAAGTTCATCTGCAACACAAAGGAACAGCTTCATAGACGAGAGGACGAATATTTTTACACCAACAGCTTTGCCTGTTCCTGGATCTGCACTCACGTCTCTCCTCTGATGCTGACTCTGACAGCCGATGTCTGTGGAATAATGGTAGAGGCCCCCTCCCTCTGGCCGGTACTGCAGCAGCTCATGGACCTTGCCCACCACCCCCAGGCCCTCCACTAGTTTCTGTCTCTGGAGCAGGGAATCGTGCCGCTCCTGCTCCTCTGCCTCGTCCACCTCATCTAGGAGTTCTGGAGCTTCTAAACCCACAAAAGCTCCAGAAATATCCGACTGCAGAGACACAGAAACGCGCGATTTAATTTTGCTTTTTGGCAATTTAAATTTGGTAAGTGAGCATCAACTGTGTGAGGGGGTCAGCCAGGAGAGCAGCCATTCATCTCGGGATGAAGGCTCTGTGGAGCCCCCCAGTGGCTGCATGTGGACACTGCACCTGAGCGCCAACGTGGGGCAGATCCGAAGGCAGCAGGTCACGGGGAGGCTGCGGTGGCGCCGGCCGGGGTTTGATCCGCTCCCCTGCCGTCTCCCCCTGCGTTTCTCTCCTTCTGTTCACCTTCAAGTGGCGCTCATTCTCCTCCTGCTTCAACCGCAGCTCCTGCAGCTGCAGCCTGGAAACAACGTCACACACCTCAGCCAAAAAGCTACCATTTATTTCATCTAAATGAGGAGAGAGATTCGGACTCAGACAGAAGTCCTAGGCTGTGTAGAGAAATAAAAAAAATACATAATAAACATCACCCAAAAAAAAGTTTGCTTTTTAAATTATTCCCCCCCCCCAAAAAAAGGTTAAAATTCATGTAGCCTCATTACAAACTAGCGATAATTTTTTGAAAATTTAACACTTATGGTTCAAAGACAAAATTCAGCTTTTGTTGGTAAATTTGAATATTAGAAATGTCTGTATTTCAGTTTGGCTTGTGGGCAATCAGCCTGAGGTTCTGCTGAGCGTTCAGGAAGCCCAGATCCGTTTTGCATGAACCTTCAGCTCGTCCAGGTTCTTGCTTTCCCTGTGATGAAGCTGAGCGGACCGACACCAGCAGACGAAAAACCAATTTTTTTGTAATAAAAATAATTTTTATTGTCCTTACCCGAGGTTCTTCTTTTCTGAGAAACTGAATTTTCACTAAATATTTTTTTAAAAATCCACCATTTTCACAGGCTATGTGCTTTTAACAAGGGCAACACATGTCAGGATTTTAATTTAGCGATTTCGAATAGCATAATCACATAGCAGAGGATAGCAGTGAGAGGATATTCAGCTAATGGTTCCATTTAAATTGCTAAAAATCACACCACAGACGATGTACTGGAGCAGGTTTAATTCCTCCGTTCTTTTCAGTGGATGTCTGTTACAAAGACGTGGATACACGTTTTAATTCTCCTCTCATTTTTCTTCTACGAGTTACATCTTCAGTTTCTTGAGAAGACGATCGAGCGAGGGTCAAACTCCCTCGTTTAGCTGAATTTGGGTTTCAGCTACAGACCCAGTGGATCTTTAAGGACAAATAAATAAATTGGTTTGCAACATATGTCAAATTAAAGGTGTAAAATGTTTATCGTGGGCCCATTTTCATACACGAAGAACAGCTGGAATTTTACTTGAGGTTCTACATTCACATTTTAATTAAGCAGATTTAGTTTTCCTCTTTTCTCTCCTGACCTCCCTTATTCAGGATCGGTCAGAAGCAGAACACCCTCACGCTGCCCACGCTTCCTGCGCACGCCGCAGTTACCTGGCACACTCCTCTCTGGCCTTGGACGCAGCCGTTTCCTGGAAGAGCGAGCTGCTGTGTTTGAAGTACTTGTCGTATTTCTCGCCCCCGTCTCTGGGGTAGATCCGTTTAAAGCCCCCCAGGTGTTTGGCCTCGTACTCCTCCATCTGTTCCACCGTGGCCGCCTGGCTCTGCCGCAGCTCCTCTGACCTGGCGGCCGAGCACAAATGAGCGCAGTAACACACACCCGCACACTGTGTGTCCACTGCAACCTGTGTGTGTGTGTGTGTGTGTCATTGTGTGACAGTGGAGGGGAAACTCCACACTTCATTTCCTCACCTGGCCTCTCTGGAGCGGTTTTGCTGCAGCCTGTCCTTCACCCTGCGTCTCTCCTCCATGATGATCTTGCGTCGGTCGCAGGCGCCCAGGTTGATGAGAACCAGAGTGTCCAACAGGAGCGCGTCCTTCACCTCCCGGTCCAGCGGAGAGTCCGTGGTGAAACTGGGCGAGTGGTTAACCTGGACGGAGACCAGACCACGCTGAATGTTTCGCTACGTCAAACAAAATCATGGACAGACATTTTCACGTGATGTTTTACCTACAAATTTCTTGAGAATCAAAAAGACAGTAATAGGGTTGGGTTTAAACCCTAACCCTGAGTGAGATGAATTGATTATTAAAATAATCGGCAACTAATTTAGCAATCAATTAATCGTGAACGGGGGAATACGAGCTCAAAAAATGGCAATTTGCTGAAAGAACTACATGGTTAGAGCAACAATTAAGCCAAAACTGTGCTGAATATATATAGATATACAATTTGCATTTAAGATATAAAAAAAACTTTCACTGTAAGTTTGTTCTACCCAGAACTCCTCAAAGGTATTTTAGCTTCACCCAGTTTAGATTCTGTAAAAAATAAATAAATAAATAAATAAATAAATAAATAAATAAATAAATAAATAAATAAATAAATAATTGGTTAAGCCATAAAAAACTCAACAGATCAACCTGCTCAGACAACACTCCTGCTGATTTTACATTATTCTTGACGTCATTGTGAAATGAATGGAAAACCAAATTCGATGTTTTGAACAAAAGTCGACACATTTTGTCTTTGTTACCAGCTTCCTTCTGCTTGCCTTCCTTCATTTAAACTCTTTCATGTATTTTCCACGTGTAAATCAATATAACAATCGTCAGCTACAAATCCGAGGATAATTAAATAGCAGAAGTAGTAAAAACAAACCCACACGTGTCCTTCCGGTTATTTTGAGCCTAAGCGGATAGAGGGCCATTTGAAGAGTTTTCTATCTGTCTTAAAAGCGGGTCAGCTGGAGTGCTGACAATCTGAGTGCGTTCTCTGATCGATCTGCAGATTCCACATCGAAACCGGGTTCCCGTCACCTCTCACCTCCAGCAGCCAGGGTTTGAGCCGGTGGTCCAGCAGCACGTCGAAGCCGAGGATCTCGAAACAGGCACTGCAGGAGATGTGGTTGGGAAAACACGTGTTGTAGTTGTGCTTCAGGATGGGGTGAGCCGATATCAGAGTCTTGATGATGATGTCCTCGATGTCGTTCCACATCTTCTCCGTGTTGCAGTTCAAGTGCTCGAGGTGCTGGTTGAGGCTGGACAGCTTTCTGATCGGCAGAAATCAGAACGGCGCTCCGTGAAACACACAGACAGGCCTTCGGCAGCACAACATCGCAGCGTTTACCGAGGCAAACCTCTTTTACCGTTTGCTGCCGCAGTTTTCGTCGCGGACAAAGTTCTCACTGTTCTTGTTGATGGAGTAGTTTGTGAGGTGCATGCATACGTCCTCCTGAGGTGGCAGAGTCGAGTTCAGTTTCACACATGGAGGAGGAAGGCGCTCTGGCCACACTAAACCTGCGATAACAAGACCTCCAGCAGAAAGACTCTAACCAGCCTGCACATACTGCATCTACCTGTGTATATTTCTACGCTTTTACTTGCAAACAATGTTGTTTTCATTTGACCTGGACTTCGTTTCATTTGGAAATATTTCCAGGCTAGCTACCTAGTTGCGACGATGAGGAGCGCTGGCATCACGTTTCTTACCACGTTGCTTTGCGTGGGCTCGTTGTACTTCCTGGTGCAAAAGCGAGCCAAGCCTTCCTTAAACATGAATATCCTGAACGGGTCGCATGACGTCACCAGCACATAAAGCCTCAGGTCAAACTTGAATCGGTCAATTATGAATGGCTGGAGGAGAAAACAGAGGCCAGGCTTACGGCTGAAACGATTAATCGGATTAATTGTGATAAATGGACGATTGAAATAATCGTCAACTAGTTTAGGAATCAATTAGTTCACATGCTGATGTTAGAAGTATTTTTTAGCTGCAGATGCATCGCTTGCTACAAATCATCAAGCATTCACTAAAGGAACAGAATGTTATTGCATTTTATATAATAAAATGTTTTCTTATTTTAAAAAAGATTGCATTTTTAATATTGTATTAAAAAAAATACATGAAAAATCTGTAGAAGAATTTTCTTTTCTGATTAATTCCTTAATAATCAGAAAAATCTACATCGTACAGCTTTAGTCACATCCAAAAACAACAATGTGTTTTATTCAGGTAGAAAATACAATGTAGTGCACGACTGTGAAGTGGAAAGAAAATGTTACATGTTTTTCCAAAGTTTTTATAAATAAAAATCTGAAATATGGGGTTTGCCTTTGAACCTCCGCCTGAGTCTCAAGTCTCAAATGAAGGTTCGTCTTCTAGCAGAGCAACAACCCTAAACATAGAACCAAATCTGCAGGGATTTAAATCAAAGCATATCAATGTATTATGTCAAAGTCCAGACATATATCTGTGTTTGCAAATGTTCCCCATCTTATCTGACTGAGCTTAAGTTGCTTTGCAAAGACAACTGGGCAAAGATTTCAGTCTGTAGGTGTGAAAAGCTGGTAGAGAAACACTGTAATATCCACAGCTATAACTCCAGTAAAATACAAATAAAAGGACACAAATTAATTTTCTAAAAATAAATAAAGCAATAAAAGTGTCACTTTCTTCCACTTCACTGCACTACATTACCAACTCCATGAAACCCTAATTAAATACGTTGGCATTTGCGGTTGTGACGTAGCAAAGTGTAAAAAAAAAAAAAAAAGATTTAAGAAAATACTGAATACTTCTGCAAAAAGCTGTTCACAAAAGCCTCACCTTAGAGATGTAAACCTGGCAGATCATGTGCTCCCCAGGCTGTATGTCTTTAGTGGACTTTGTGATGAAGATGCCTTTACCTTGGCACCCCGTATCTGGCTTGCAGATGTAAGTCTTGTGTTTTTTGGCTCTGGTGTAGGCTTGGAAGTCACTGTAGCTGCGAAGGCAAATCGGACAATCAGTGACACTTTCGAGGTGCGTTTTTATGCAGACACAAAAGGAGAACTTACTCTGCGGGGAGGCACCATGTTCTGGGGAAGATATTATAGTCTTTAGGAAAAAGCTTCAGCATGCGGTTCAAGTTCCTCGCCAAGAAATCTTTGCGGCAGATCTCACTCATCCCTGGGAAATGGTTTATTTTCTGCAAAGACAAGCGAGTTTACACAGCATGAAAGGACCACCTCCGCTAATATAACACATTTTATACGTATGATTATGGCCGCATTTAATTCAACTTCAAGAGGAGAACCGGTTGCAATTTGTCTCAACCTGTTAAACAGCCTGGGTAAGCATATCACAGTAGATTGCAAATTAAAAGCCTGACCTGAGAGAAATGCTGGGAGCTACCGATGCCGTCCACGAAGAAGAGGCTCTATTACAACAGAGGAGCCCCATTTCTAATTCACTTCTCTCCGGCACAAATGGAATTACACGGTTAATTTGTAAAGCCGAGCTCAGCTGCCACGGTTTGTCCTGATGATGGCGGTAATGAGGTGCTTAGTGAAGACCGCCTGGCTTAAATACCTGGTAACGCTTCATGTCCCTAACACGGTCCAGAGACACGGAGAAGTCAGTCCAAACCAGAGCCCAGTCATCGTCTTCCCCCGTCTCCTTGAGGCCGTACCGGCGGGCCGCTCGCCGCACTGAGGCAGAGCAAACGTTAAATTACTAAAAAGATATGCCAGATGTTTCGAAGATGAGACATTTCCCCACAAACTTTGCCAAAAGGTGAAAATAAGAATTGAAAACATTATTAGACTGAGCTAAAATGATTATTTAACTATAACGTTTGAAAGGTTTTGTTTTCAATCTGTATGTTTTCATTTGGACTGAGGTCAGGGTTTCTTGTTTGTTTCTATGGTTGTTGGGGATTTTATTATTATTATTATTATTATTATTATTATTATTATTATTATTATTATTATTATTATTTAAAAATCAATATAAAATATCAAGGAGGGTGTTTGTAAACATTTGAGCTTATTTTTATATCTTCAACCATGTGTGGATAAGAGAAAATTGGCAATAAACTAAAACAGGTGCATCCAGTTCTTATGTTTACAAATGTATTGAAGGTGTGTGTTGCATAATAACTTAACCCTGAAAAAAGAACAACTCAAACGTTTCCTTAAAGGTCCAGAGGATGCATAGGTGGAGAACTAAGGGTGCAGGAGAGGGACAACAATTCATTTGTCTTAAAAATAGACACTAACATCTAAAGTGTTTGTGCAGAATAAGTGGTAGTAACTTGTAATGAGTTGGGCTTCCCACAATCTTGATCTGTCTACAGAGGAGAATTTGGGATGCCTCAAATGTAATAATAATCTTTTTGTAGAGTTTGACACTGCAAGAATCTACCTTGATTTAAGCAGATGAATGATAGGTTTAAAAAAAAAAAAAAAAAAAAATCAAACGTACCGCTTTCATATTTGCAGCTGGTGAGGTTGATAGCCAATCATCTGAAAGAGAAGAGAGACAAAGAGAAGGACAGACGCCTGCTTTGCGGTGTCGCCATCTTGTCAGAAAATGCCTCAGCAGTTCACTTCCTGCAGGGACGCACGCGTCTAGAAGTTAAATCCAACATGATCAACGGGGAGAAAAATACCTCCTCTTGTATTTCCTTCTCTTCTTGGTGGTGGGTGGCGGCCGGAAGGGGATGTAGGTCTCTGTTTGGCTTTCACCTCCTTCCTCCTCCTCTCCCAGCTCGTTGTTTGCATCTGGGCCGTCCAGAGGTAGTCCCATCCTGTGTGGGAGCAAATTGAGGGGGAAAATGCTAAAAACTAAAACAAATATGATTGTGCAGACATAAAATAAAAGCGGTAGTTTGCAAAAGTGTTCCTACCTGAACCTTTCCACATTTTGCTGCATTACAACAATAAATGTGGCAGAGCTGCTAAAACTAACCTGAGCAGCCACCATTTTTCATTTTGCAACCGTTTCATTAGACGGTTATGCACAACAAAAATTCAAATGAAGCTTCCAGTCATAACAAACAAAATGTGGAAAAGTACTAAGTGGGTGGATACTTGTACACGATGCTGTAATGTCGCTCTATTGTCCAGCACTCATTTACATGGTTCTTTTTTTTAAAGCTGCCTGCTGAAGCCCCTGACACTGAAACTCAATCAAACAGAACGAAGAACATGCTGTAGGAGAGCGAATGGAGTCGTGTTTCTGTTTCCACTCATCTCATCAGACGAGTGCCACGGCTGTCAGCATGTGGTGACACGCTGGCATCTAAAAGGCGTCGCAGCAGAGCAACTGGTAGCACAACAGCAATGACGAGAAATAATCCAAACTCTGATTAAATCTCATAAAATCCACTCTGCATATCACAAATCTGGCCTTTGTGGAAGATGGAAGTTCATCAAAGGTATCCTCGCTCTTTCACTTCTCAACCATTGTTGTGCCGTGAACACGAGTCCCACCGGCAGCCAGGCGAGTCTTCAACATGGTTTTAACTTGGATCACCTTTGTAAAAAGTGTCCTTGTAAAAAAAAAAAAAAAAAAAAAAAAAAAACTTTTAGAAGTACTTTTACTCTGCTGTACATTTTACTTTTACTTGACTACTTTCATCGTGAAGCATTGCTTCTCTTAATTCAGTAAAATTTCTGGATCCTCCGCCCACTGACAGTGACTTTTGTTAAAGTTTAATAGGTTTTATATTGGAAGAAATTGATTTGGAAAAATGTATATTCTGCCTGATTTTGCTATTTTTGTAATCATGTTATTTTTTTGAATTAGTTTCATTTTTGTTCCTTAATCTAATCATGTGATGATCAATGCGACGATGTAATTTTTAAATATTAAACGACTGATGATGTGAGAAGCCTGTTTACCAAATACTTCTTTTATATATATAATTTCATGGACTGTGACTTTTTACTTTTACCTGAGTAAAAATATGTTGAAGGAGCCAGAGCCAGGAAGAGGGATTTAGTGCTGTCAATCATTCTCATGTATGCACCACTCACAACCTTCCCCCCATTGCTCTCTGCTACGCTACAGTTAGTTCACCGTGAACATTCAGGCAAGTTAGCATGGCCACAGATGACGTCGGATAAACAGTTTTCCTGTAACGGTAAGTATTAATATTAGCATATTGAGCAGCACATACATGAGCGTGACAGACAGCGCTAAAACCTTCCTCCTGGCTCTGATTGGTTGTTTTTGACTGGGAGCGGTGCAAAGAGGAGGTGGAGGAGCCTGATTTTTTCACATATGATCCGTCTCATACCGTACTCTCACAACGTGGTGACAGTGTATTAGCAAATATAGAAAAAAACATATTTTTGTAAAGGTTACTGCAGGTTTAAGCGACAAACATAGTCAAGATCCACTTCCCAGAACACAAGAAAGTCCAAATATAAGGGAAGTTAAAGCTCCACTTGCTCGTCTCAATCTGTCCTCTGATCCGAACACAGCAGGAGCCGTGCACCTCCGCGTCCGATCTGGTGTCTTACAGGGTCTGAGGTGAGTTTGACTCAATCATTGTGACAGAAACCCGGGGTGGTGTCGAGGAGGGACATCCCAGGTACGCGGCGGGAGGCTGCGGTGCCAGGTAACGGTATTCTGATCCAGTGATCTGGATAATCCTGGCCTTCAGCTGTGAGTGTTGCACCCGGCTGAGACGCCCCACTGACCTCAGCCCAGATTCGGTTACGGCCCAAGACTCTCCCTCAGTGTGCGGCGACAACAGGTGTGTGAACAACACCTCTGGTTTGTTTTAGGAGCTGACCACACGAAACAATCAAAGTGTCCGGTAAACGTAACGCGTTCAGAATTTACTCTAAACGTTTTGTTCACAAGAATACCTGAGCTGGTGATGAAACGTTTAAAAAAAAAAAAAGTCAAAGGACAGTTTAGAAAAATCTAAGAAAAAATATTTAATAATAGAAAAATAAAAGTAAAATATGTCTGTGTACATTTGGTAAGCATCTTAAATCTCCCTCGAATTACTCCAGTGAATCATGGTTGGGTTTTGTCAGATTGATCAACATAAAGCAGTTCAAAAATATTCTTACAAAGAGCAAAGAAAGTGTTTCAAATAATAAATATGTTAGAAACAGATTTGTGATTTAATTTCAATATAAATACAACTATATATAGATAAAGTGACAGAGACCTACCTCTGTGGTTAAAGATGTTCTTCATCCAATCTGACTGAGCTGGAGTTATTCTGTCACAAAGAACGAGGAAAGTCAGTATCTAGATTTGCAAAGCTGACAGAGACGTAACCGTCCTCCTATGCGTCTCTCCATTTGACCTAAATACAAACACCCCACTTCAGATTTGTACCTGGAAGGAAAACTGAGAACAGTGTATCGTTTTCCTTCAACCTCACAATGACACTCTACTTTAAAAATCCCGATAAAACCTGGTGAAATTTGTGGCTGCACCATGCGGCAAATTGATTTTAAAAAGATATGCAAACAGTAGAAATAAACGGATTACTAATATAACAGCGGTCTGTGCTGTTTGTGTTTTTATGCCCCTGTTTAATGTTTAATGTACTTCAACCAGCAACAGTTGGGGCTCCACGTCTGTGTCACTGTTATTTTCTACTACCTCAAAGCAGAAACTGGGTTTCAGAGCCTCACAAAGAGACTCGACGCGTTCGGCTTTAGTTTTCAGCTCCTGTACACTCTCAGACATCGTATTTAACGAGAACAGCGTCACTCACCCGTAGTGTTGCTCCTACATTGATGAGGAAATTGGTGTTGGAAGATGCTGCAGCCGTTTGTCTCCACGCCTGTTTTCCGACGGCTTCAGGAGCTTCTCGACGTGCCACCGTGCTCCACAGCAAACAAATCAGTGAAGAACCTCATCCCACCTCCACACACCAACTGAAACTGATGCCCTGGAGGAAACAGAAAAGATTCATTGTTATCATAATGGTGGTTCAGCTCCAGACCAACTTAAAGGCTGAAGAAGAAGTGGATCTGGTAACCAGTTAGAAAAACCTGATACGTCTTGACATGATAGAAGAGAAAACGAGCAGGGGACGTTGGCGTGGCGGGGGGGTAAGAAGAGAGGAATAATCCCTGATGCTTGTTCACTGAAACAGGAGAGGCGCCTTTCAGCGCCACGACTTGTTCAGCTTAAATCTGTGCTGAAAAGCTTGGCAGAGCTGCAAGTGAGTGGTGTTGGCTGGGCTAAAATAAAGCTGGGCTCTCCATTAACGACATTAAAAATGGAGCAAGGCGAGAGGGGGGAAATGTTAATCGGAAGACGAGGAGAGGAAAGAAGCAAACAAAGGAGCAGGTATCAATCAAACTAAAGAGGGACGGAGAGGAGTGAGAGGTGACAAGGAGGCACTGATGCAACTCTTTGATTCTGTAACTAATTAAGGATTAATTAATCATCCACTGATATACTACACATGTCTGCGACATACTCCGTGATGAGACGTTCAAGGTTAGCAACTTAGCTTCCAGCATGGAGTTGAAATGAATCACATTGTGTGACTAAAGGCAATTAATTTGTGCATCTGCATGTCTGACATTGAATTAGGTCAGGAGGTCATTTGTTATAATATATAGGCTAGGGACACCATAAGCCATTAAATTGATTCATTCTTTATAAGAAGAAAATAATCCTTAATTGGAGTAATGTTACTAAGAGAGAGGGAAAAGCTGTTTTTCAGTTTGGTCATATGCACTACAGCAGGGTGTGGGCTCCTTGTCTGTGAATTATTGCATCAATACGGTTTTGGAGTGGCCTAGTCAAAGTCATGACTTATATCTGATGGATATTGAGGCTGCTCAGGCTTGAAACTCATTACATTACCAATGGCTGTTGTTGCTGGCCGGGTGGTACAACCAGTTGTCAGGTTTAGGGGCAGATTACTTTTTCCCCATGGGCTAATTGGAAGAAGCATGAGCTGAGTTGGACAGATTTTTAAAAATGAAATGCTCACTGTTGACTTTCACCCATTTCTTTGCCTCCAGCTCTCTCTGCTTCTCACACAGACTCGCTTCCTTCTTTAAAGTCATTCTGGGACATTTTTGTCTCCTTGTGATGTTTTGTTCCTCTCTAAGTTATTTACACTGTTTGGAGCTGATTTGTGTCCTTCTAAAGCCATTTAAACGTTATTGCGTTTTTTGTCTTCTAATAATATGTTTGTCACTTTGCATGTATTTTTTATACCTACTGCCTCTCTTTATGGTCATATATGAATCATTTATGTTTTATTTGTAGCTTTTGTTGATTCTGGCGCTTTGTGGCTTATTTATGGGGCCATCTTATTTACTTTGTCTTTCATAAGATACAGGTTAGCATAGCATTCCTTCATCGTTGTATTTAACTGACTTTTGTTTTTTTTCTCTGTGCCAGGTCTCTGTCCTCACACTTATTTTGTCTCCCTTTTACAGCAGTTTTGTCTGTACTTGTGCTTATTTTTGCATGCGTTTAAGATACTTAACTTCATGGGGTTTTGTGTGTAATTACCCTTCTCTTTTAGAGACTTTTGAAAAGCATACAAATCCCTAGAACATTTTCATTTTCTGGTTAGAACAGTAATTTTCAATTCATATTTAGATTTTATTTAATAGACCCACACAAAGTAACACATATTTGTGACATGGAAGGAAAATTGATCACATATTTCTTTTGCAAATGAAACTGTGAACGCTTTGGTGTGTGTTTGCATTCCAGTAGGTCCCCCTTTCAGTGTTGTCTTACTGTAAGGTAATCCTCCATCCCACTCTCAAGTCTCAAGCTTTTCTTATTTGCATCCACCATTATGTCAACTCTAGCTTCTACATCTCTGTTGAAGAAAGTAATTACCACAACACAATGCTAAGGAGTGATGCAAGTTTTACTAGAATGTCTTGTCTCCAGCTACTAGCACCCGGTTTAGGAGGAATGCCTAAAAAACTGATTTAACATTTGACGTAAGCAAAGTGTTAAATTTAATTTATATGAACGGAGGAACATAAAGTCTTTCATCAAGTCCTTGCTACAGAACTACATTGAGCAAAGTCTTCATAGCTAAAAAAAAAAAAAAAAAAAAAAAAAAAAAAAACATCCAAAAAAAACCCCCTCCGGTAAAATTGGCCAGCTATTCTAACGACGCTATTAAGAGTTTTACTTTATTT